CCCTCCTGGCCTGGCAGCTGGAGCATTTGCCCCACCTTTCCTCTCTCTTGACCCTCAGAACATTGCTCTGTATGAGTGGCTGCCCAGCTTCCTGCAGAAAACACCCCCAGAATATACAGGTGAGGGCATGGGGGGCACCTGTGTTGAGGGAGGTTGTGGTTAGGATCCATGGGTGGAAAGAAGACAGGTGGATGCCTGTTATGGGAGGAAGGAGAGTTCACGAGTTTATTTCTCCTATTCCTCCCATGGGGCAGGGTACCGCCCTTTCCTGGACCCCAGCATCTCTCCAGAGTTCCTGGCAGCCTCTGAACAGTTCCTCTCCACCATGGTGCCCCCTGGCGTCTACATGAGGTGAGGGAGGGCTCAAGTGTGTGTTGGGAGGTGAGGGGGCGGCAGGTGGGGCTGGGATTGTCAATTGAGAAAATTGCCCTCTTGAGTCTTCAGGACAGGATTATCAGGGAACAGTGAACAAGGAGGGGAAGAATAAAAACAATTGTTCAAAAAGATACATTATTGTGGTGTTTAAGCACTTTAGGTCCATATTCCTGCAACTGGTGTAGCTCTTAATTCTCCAGTTTAAGACTGGCTAATTGAGGCTCAGGCTGAGTCACAAAGCCTGTTGTGCTGAACTTGACACTACCCTGGGGCCATTTTTAGCTGTAAATACAGAACTTGGCGCTTATAAACCTTTTGGAGAAATTATAATAAAAATGTGAACCTGACCAGTGTGGCTGAGTGGTTGAGCGTTGACCTATGAACCAGGAGGTCATGGTTCGATTCCCAATCAGGGCACATGCCTGGGTTGTGGGCTCAATCCCCAGTGTGGGGTGTGCAGAAGGCAGCCAATCAATGATTCCCTCTCATTATTGATGTTTCTATCTCTCTCCCTCTCCTTTCCTCCCTGAAATGAATAAAAATAGATAGTTTTTTAAAATGTGTGAGAGCTGAAGAAAATATAGGCTCCAAAATAATAAAAAGGGGACTTTAACTAAAAACAATTAATTAATTAAATGTATACAAAGCAAAGCATATCAGTTTATTTTTGTTACAATTGCATTATAATTTTTTTTGAAAATAATATATAAAATTATTAATAAATAACAGTAACAAAAAGATATAACAACAACAGAGGCATGATATAAAAACGACAAAAATATGATATGAAAACAACAAAAACATGATATAAAAACAACAGTGATGCAAACAATGACTGATAAAGTGATTAAACTTATTCTAATATTCTA